GTAAACCACCAAAAGGATGAATAGACACACAGAAACACAGGATGAAAGAAAAGGAGACACTCTGAATAGGATGGGAAGATACAGTAGGGTGGAAGGAAAAAGACAAGTTGAACTACTATAAAACTTTTTAAAAAAGACAGCTACAGTTAAGTATGTTTACATCATCATTGTATGCAAAAGTATCAGTACAACAGGTCTACATTTTCATCAATAGCTCTTCAGTTTTGTATATGAGTATAACTCAATTTTACATTGGCAAAGATTACAGAATGGACCTTTAAAAGCAGCATATTCAGAAATTGGACTGAATGAATCCGGAGACAGCGACAGACGCAGGCCTTCACCTCCTATGAGTCAGAGGGACTGTAGCTGGGCTCCTGAGGGACTTGTGATCTTGGAATAGCAGGAATATTCCTCTCACTAAAAACAGAGCAACTCCTCGACTCAGCTTCACTCTATTTCCAGCATCTTGTCCTGTAAGCTTCTGCATCAGCAACGCAGTAGAGCCAATACAAACCAAAGCAACAAAAACTCTTTAGTTTATTAGGGAGTCAGTACTATGACTGTGGGGCTAATGCTCAAAGTAACAGCTGTGAAATTGAGCAGGTTCACTTTCATTCCTAAAAAGTTGACTTGTTTTCCATCCTGCAGCGGCTCCAGGCCACAGGATGTGACAATCCTACAGACAAAGGAACAGATAAGATGTCCTTCACAGGTTTCCCCTTTTCCTTTGCTGCAGCTGACGCGTTTCCTCATGTTCTGTGCCACAGCATTTTTCTAATAAAATCATCTCCTATCACTGAGCTGGCATAGTAGTATAAACACGCAATTTTTCAAGTAATATACTTATTTTTCATGACACAAGAAAGAATTTCTTACACATTGTCAATTAAAAATAAAACCAGAATTTTGTCAAAGGGCAAATCTCCCTGCTACGTCCTGTTTTAATTCCTCCTCTAAAGGTCATCCAAGAAGCAACATAACTTTTCCAATCTACGCTGGTCAGTGAAGGCATGCAGTTTAAAGACAATTCAGTATAGCTTATTGATGCAATTTATGTATGGTAAAAATGGTCTATGAGGTTTAGTAAACGATCCACTTCGCATTTTAGGTCAAATGATGGGTGTAATGATGGATCCAGACCTGACTCTCCAGTTTACCTCAGCACTGCAGATACATATATTAGCATCTTTTAGCTGACTGTTTTGGTTTTCTAGCCTGCAAACTCAACTCTTATCAAGCTGTACACTACCTCACTAGCACCAGGCACTGTTAGCATCTAGCTGAACACAGCACTGAGCAGCTAAATAGACAAACATTAGAATGGGGTAGAAAACCCATCTTTCCCCAAACTCCTCTCTCTCATCTCCTGTGTTGACCTTTACTGAATCATCAGTGTGAACAACAAGATAATAAAATAGTGAAGTGCCTGTTGCACACTCTGATAACTGAGGAGTGGGAGTGAAACAACACTGTGGATTTTTCCTTTTTGACCTCATGATAGAGGCACAACAATACGCACCAGCCGGCCACAAGTGAAGGGACCTGAACAAACAGCGCAACAGCTGTGTAAACTGAACAGGCAGAGCGGCGCACACACAGACACACAAACACACACTCCTCAAACTGTCTCACATCAAGTTTAACAGGATGCACAGCCTCATGGCAGAGCAGGGGCAGAAAACAAAGACAAACCTAAGCCACAACAGGATTTTGCTGTCAGTCCTTTGACATAATCTAAACTGTGTCCAATTCCTAATGGGAATTTTAGCTTAGACAACTTAAACACACCAAGCAATTTCCTTTAATATAACTTTGCAGAGAGCACTCAGGCATATAAAGTGCAGCTCCACTCAAAATAGTAATTAAAATAAGGAAAAAATAACCTAATTAATTTTTGAAAAAACATACACATTTGGTTAAGAAATGTAAGTGTGAAACACAGACTGCAGCTAAACTACAAATTCATTCAGAGCAAGCGAGCATTTCACTCACATGACAACAACATTTAACCACAATTACAAACAGTATGATGTAATACTGTGCATTATATTGTTGACTGGGTCAACATAAACCCCTCCACCCAGCCTGGACTCTAGACATTACGCAGCAGTGAAGAGATGTCACTTTTTTCTGTTGCCTTCAGGGACTTTCACCTACGAGTCAAGGACCCATTTTTTCTCTAGGTCCTTCACAGCAGCACTGCTCCTGAGAGAATCGGGCAGGGCTGATTTTAAAGGGACAGGCAGCCACTTCAGCAGAGTTTGCGCTGTAGTACAACGACAGCCTTCACCACGGCTCAGCTCAGACACTGTCTTGACTTTGACATCGAGGCATCACTTTAAAAGTCTCAACTTAAAAGCAGCCACTGAGAAAAATAAAAAGGAAATGTGAATTCTGCTTGTTTTTTGTTTTATGTCACTGAAAATAGACATTCAGGTGTTTGCCCTGTTGACCCAAACAATATATTCAGTTTTTAGGCTCACAAGTGTGTAGCTTCTCCGACTTCTCACATACATCTAGTCAGAGGTCAGGTGGCCCCATAGGCTGAGAGGAGGTGAACACCACTGAGGACCTTTTCTCATGACCTGTAGTGATGTGTAATGGGAGGTGGTGTAACAACTGCAGAGACAGTTTGATAGCAGGTGCACTCAGAAATCCTTCTGCCACTAATGCTCTCTGGTAACCATGCTGGCAGTAGGTCAACCTATTCTTTATTCAGATCCACATTAGCTGTCCCCAGGGTATAAGCTACTCTACCTGGGGTCCACACACAACAAAACATAACATATAACAACATTTAACACATACAAAAATCTCAGTAAAAGCATATTCATAACCCTAAAATCAACTAAAAACTGAACCACAACATCCAGTTACATTCAAAGTCTTTCAAGTTAGTCAATTAATGCTAAAATTACTTTTAATACATTTTTTTCATTAGCCTCAAATCTTGCCTTATGGGGTGCTTCAGTGTACACAGATAACTTATTCCACATTGAGATTGAGATTACAGATCTCTGCACGGCATCTGTTCTTTCTTTAACCAAACAATCCCTAATAGCCCACCTGGACTTATAATAATGTTGATCTCTTACATAATTTAATTGTGAGTCCACACAGTTTGGTTGTTTACTATAAGACATTCAATAGATTTCCTGCTAACCTACCCTTTACTCTGAGGCATGAGAGAATGGCATGCATTTCCTATGTGCCTTGCCTCACTTCTAACAGACAGGACAGTGTGAGCCTTGCAGTTTTATTCTGAGCTATCTGAGGCTTAGCAAATGCTTTTTTGCAGCACCTGACCAAACTGCATTTTACTGTGCTTTTTCTTAATGGGGCATGTTGATCAGCCACAGAGAGAAATAAGAGACAGCACAGTCTCCCCTTGCTCTAGCATCCTTCCTTGAAGGTAAAAGCTCAGCTCTTCCTCACTTTTGCATCAAAGTCCTCCACCGATGTAAACTGAGGCATTCTTCAGATTAGATCTTATTATGGCCAAGATAAGCTGTTTGTCCTTTAAGCGCAACAGTTTGGTTACAACTTTTCTCAGCCTTTCCCTGTCATCTCTAAACCATTCCTGTGAGAGTTTTCAATTTCCACAGGGGCATCCAGCTTGAGTTTTGTGATTAGCAGTTCTTGTACTTTGGACTCCGTCTCAGCACAGGTTTTATCAGCTTTATCTGGTCCAAGCCCATTAATCACAAGATTATTTTTTCTACACAAAGTCCCTATGTAATCAATCTGCTCATCACATCCCTTCACAGCATGTCCTCATTTCAGTTCATTAATCAGCTTGTCCTCAAACTCACCTTGTTGGGCCTTTTGATATTTCCTTACATCTTTAATACCATTTTGAGAAGAGTATAAACTCACCTCAAGTTCTTGCAACTCACTCCACACTCAGTCCACTCTTTTGTTAACTGAATCCAAGATCACTTGAGGAAAAAATGCAAAATGCAGCCTCTCGACTCTTCAGCAAGTCTTCATAAAAATTCTTATGTGGGTCCAATAGTTCCTTAAGAGTGTCCACTGTCACAAACTCAGGATCATCGTTCAGAGTTGTTCCAAATCCTTTCACCATCTATGTAACTCAGTGCAGCAAAGGTTGGTTGTTTGTAGGACTTACCCTCTCACCAATATACAGCAGGCTGAACCATTCTCAAAAATCT